ATCATGCATTTGAACATCTACAATCAACTCCCACAGTAGGCTAGTACACTATATATATAGCATTCAGCAAGCAGCTTGTTTGAAGGATACACATCCCCCTCAGTTTGGGGCTCTCTGTGTATCAGCTGCTTGTCACTGTTCTACTGCTATGCAAGTGAGTTGGGTTTAACCCCACTTTGAACAGTATCCAAACACCATGGTAATGGTTCAACATGGATACCTGAATACAGGTCCCAGAAGACTAGTCCCCTTGACAAGGGCAACGACAACAATGATTGTTTCATCTTTACTGATTTTTGGTATGACTCAACCAGGGATTGAACCCAGACCTTCCACTCTCTGGGCTGACGATCTATTCAACACACTGTGGAGGTTGTCTCCCTGCCTGTTGACTTGACCGGGGCTTGAACCCAAACCTTCCACTCTCTGGGCTGACGCTCTATCCAACACACCATGGAGGTGGTCTCCCTGCCTGATGACTCTTTATCATTTTTAATTTAACTACAATTTCAATTTTTGTTTTCAAACCATCAAAAGTAAACTGTGTAATTTTTTTCATTGTAATGTCAAACTAAATTTCATCAAACACTAAGAAAACGTTCATCTCATTACATAAAAACACATAATGCTGTACAAAAGATTATTTTCAAATCCCTTTCACATACAATATTCTTCATAAATGATTCCTTATATTTCAGGAGGATGTGTGGACCCAGACAAACAAGAGTTGTAGAGTTGTACAGCAGATTCCCCTTTAGCTCTGAACAAGCCACCAATGTTTCATTCCATCTTGATTAAATCATCCTAGCCATGTTTCAAGTTTTTCAGTCTCTTAAGGAGACTCACTCCTGGCTGCAAATTTCTAAAACAAGTTCTGGAAGCCGAAAAGTAAGATCAGTGATTAGTGTCATGTTGGCAACGCTGCAGCAAGTTCTGTCTCACGCTTGTGTGAGTGAACTGCTTAGAAAACCAGGCTGTGCATCAATCTGTCCCCGAATCTGACAGCGACGGACCCGGGCCTCCACAACACCATGGTCACAGCCTTTTTCACATTCTATATACCATGGAACTTTACAGAAAGGACCCACTGAAAAGCCAATAGAAATGTAATTAAAAAATGTCAATTCATTTTAAACAGATCTTATAAATAACATTTGGTGAGTCTTTCATCCGATCACCAAATATTTTGAGGACACTAACCCTGCATCTGTGTCTTCAAATACTGGGACATGACACTAGTTTGGAAGAGTTTAGGCAAGGAACCATCGTCTTTATGCCCATCCGTTTTCCTGCCTCACCGCAGCTAGAGTGAGTGAGTGAATTTAGTTTTATGCCACGTCTAGCAATATTCCAGCAACATCACGGAAGGAGACACCAGAAATGAGCTTAACACATTGTACCCATGTGGGGAATCGAACCTGGGTCTTCGGCGTGACGAGCGAACACTTTATCCACTAGGCTACTCCACAGCCTCTACTGCAGCAAGAAGTGAGAGAGTGTGATATTAATTACTTCTAATACTATCAAACACATCCATACCACAAGATTAACCAGATATTTATTTTTTATGGTCAAGAGCATCATTGAGCAGTTGTCGGTATCTATGTTGGTGAATGAATGAAGTGGTTAGATGTGTGATAATAAGTACAGTTTGCATCGTGAAGCTCCATGACATGTGTAAATTGCTTGCTGAACTTGATGTGCAGATACTCATAGTTTTCATTCGAAAGGGGAAAAACTGAAACTTTATGCATCAAACTTCTGTTTAAGTATCAAATTTCAAGCAAATTTAACAAAACTTAAAACAATTATGTTGTTGTTTCTTCACAGCTATTAACACTTAAACAATGTCTCCTGTGTCTTTGACAGCAGATTAACTGACTCAGCCGACAGTCAAACACAACTCGGCAGTGATTGAGCTTCGTTTTTCCCACTAATTGGGGATAAACCTACTCTGTTCTAAATGTTGAGATGGTTCTTCACTGATTTGAATGAAGCAGTGTTTAATCAACCACCTCAAAATTTAAAGACAGGCGTTCTTTATCTGAATTCCATCATGACTAAAATACATTTTTAAAACAAACCTTTTCTTCCACACATATTCTGTTAGAGGATGTGGTCAGGGTTTTCATCTAGGAATAACTTAGTGAAACAAACTAATCATATTACATCATCCTTACATGTCATGGTAGAATCTATTTTAAAAACAGAACAATGAATAAAGTGTGGCATCAGCAGGATTTGAATATGTGAATTCCGAACAGAAGGTTAATGAATGTAGTCTTCTGTGACATGGAAGAAACAATGTGGATTTAAGAATCTCATATTCACATACATCAAGAATAACAGTAAATCATTTTATGAACAGGTGTATTTGTGGTGTGTACAGTGTGTTGCCGATTATTGAAAATGTTTCAATGTGATAGCCAGGACAAATGAACAAAAGTAATTTTATTTATTGATTTTGTTCATCCTTCTCATCTTTCTAAGTAAAACCTGAACAAAGGTGTTTTTAATTTACCTTTCCCATCAGACTGATAGGACTGTACAAGAAACTGCCATGATGGCTTTTATATACATGCTATCTCCCCATCATCTCATACAAAGATAACCTGTGTCCATGGCTTTTTCTCAAGCAAACCACTTTCACTGTTCAAACATTTGATGTGGCTATAACCGTAAATCTTATCTAGGAATACTTCCGATCTCATTAGAAAGTCCGCTAATTAGCCTGTCTCATGTTAAGAAATGGAGTATGTTAGTATTTGTCAGCCGTAATTTGCAAAGCACCTGTTTAGTTAGACATCAATCAGCTGTAAACAAAGCAGAAAATTGGCCAAATAAATAACCTTCATTAGGTCTCAAATTCAATCAGTTTGACAGTGGTTTTGACTTTACTGCCATTCCAGGAATAGTTGGTGCTTGTGTGCAAATACACCCTAAAACAACATCCCTGGACAGACAGCTGTTTCCGTGTTGAGCTGAAATAGGTGGCATCATGCGATTCTTGGACAGAGTAGAGTAGTGTGATGTGATTCTTGGACAGGGTAGAGTGGCATCACGCGACTCTTGGACAGGGTAGAGCGGCATCACGTGATTCCTTGACAGGGTAGAGCGGCATCACGTGATCCTTGGACAGGGTAGAGTGGCATAAAGTGATTCTTGGACAGGGTAGAGCGGCATCACGTGACTCTTGGACTGGGTAGAGTGGCATCACGCGACTCTTGTACAGGGTAGAGAGGCATCATTCGACTCTTGGACAGGGTAGAGTGGCATCAGGCAACTCTTAGAAACAGGGTAGCATGGCATCACGTGATTCTTGGACGGGAAAAAGTGATATAATGTGACTCTTGGACAGGGTAGAGTGGTATCATGCAACTCTTGAACGGGGTAGGGTGGCATCAGGCAACTCTTGTACAGGGTAGAGTGGCATCACGTGATTCTTGGACAGGGTAGAGCGGCATCACATGATTCTTGGACAGGGTAGAGAGGCATAAAGTGACTCTTGGACAGGGTAGAGTGGCATCACATGACTCTTGGACAGGGTAGAGTGGCATCAGGCAACTCTTGGACAGGGTAGCATGGCATCACGTGATTTTTGAACAGGATAAAGTGGTATAATGTGACTCTTGGACAGGGTAGAGAGGCATCATTCGACTCGTGGACAGGGTAGAGAGGCATCATTCGACTCGTGGACAGGGTAGAGAGGCATCATTTGACTCGTGGACAGGGTAGAGAGGCATCATTCGACTCGTGGACAGGGTAGTGTGACTCTTAGACAGGGTAGAGTGGCATCACGTGACCAATGGATATATAACATTTATATTCAGTGATCCCTTACTGTTTTTGAAGAGTATAGTAGGATAAATATCCTGTACCCATTCGATATATATCTGTATACAATTATACGCTTTGTATCCAGCATCACCGAGGATGGTTCTCAGTGCTTCAGTGTTCTGGATGTAAAGTAGCTCCACTTCCTGACTGAACATGCATCCTTCAGAATTAACAGAAACCAGTTTCATAACTATAACTATATAGCCATATTGGACCCATCATCAGCACATTCAGATGGGGCTGAGGAGACCAGGCTGGGCTGCATGGTGATCATGGGCTTGTTATTAGGTCTTAATAGTGTAACATGCTTATCGTCTTCACACACTCAAGAAACACTCATGAACAAGACAAGAACAAACATTCTGAAACACGGTCTCGTCAAACAGCAATTATGTGCTTAGTGTGCTTCTTCATCACTGGAACTGTTTTGTGAATGATACAAACATCAGTCCCAAGTCAGACCAATCTCCATCAATACATCAACAATTCCCGAGTATAAATCCACCAAGCACTGACACAACGTAGGAATCAATTTGTATGTATCGCATGTCCTGATCAGACTACAGGCATCTTCGTAGTCAGAAATTACTCGGCTAATTACCTCCTTCATCTGGAGGAAGCATCAATGAATCCCTTACAATGTGACTTGTCCATGTAATCATCCATACACCCAGATAGCAGGAGAGATTGGATACTACTCCCAGGTCTATGATTGCCTGCTGACAGTTAATATGAATCCACTGCAATACTTAGCAAGTAAGTTATTCATAGGCCACTACTGTCGGACATCAGACTGCATAAAAAGGTTCATGCTTCTTGAACATATTTCTCCCAGGGAGACAGGACATGTTCTTTGATCGACAACAAAAGTAGCAGGGGGAGACAGTTTCATAGTTTTTCACTCCAAAGATTAAAACAAACCGCAACTCAGCTCCTTTATACCATGTCGGTAGTCAAGGATACCATTGTATGGATAACAATATGCATTATATGATGAGGGAAGTTTGAAACAAATATTACATTATCAGCAAGAAAGGTGACTGATGATGCCGTAGAAACATTTACATCAGGGTTTTTTAGCCATACCATCAAAGTTGGATGATGTATTCTATTCCTAATATGACAACATTAACAGTATCTCCATCATCTTTCCAGCTGTCAGAATGACGGACAACTCCACAGTCAAGGGTGTCATCAGTGAAGTGTCCTCAAGAGCAAAGGCAACGTCACACGTACAGTTACTTACAGAGACAGACCCATAGCTATTCTGTTTGTCAGCAATATCAGAATCACAATTCTCAACTGTCCTCAAGAGCAAAAGCAACATCACACGTCACTTACGTACAGTTACTTACAGAGACAGACCCATAGCTTTTCAGTTTGTCAGCAATATCAGAATCACAATTCTCCACTGTCCTCAAGAGCAAAAAGCAACGTCACACGTCACGTCACAGGTACAGTTACTTACAGAGACAGACCCATAGCTTTTCAGTTTGTCAGCAATATCAGAATCACAATTCTCCACTGTCCTCAAGAGCAAAAGCAACGTCACACGTCACACGTACAGTTACTTACAGAGACAGACCCATAGCTTTTCAGTTTGTCAGCAATATCAGAATCACAATTCTCAACTGTCCTCAAGAGCAAAAAAACGCACACGTCCACACGCATAGCTTTTCACAGCAATATCAGTTACTTACAGAGACAGACCCATAGCTTTTCAGTTTGTCAGCAATATCAGAATCACAATTCTCAACTGTCCTCAAGAGCAAAAGCAACGTCACACGCGTACAGTTACTTACAGAGACAGACCCTGTCTCAAGACGCAAAGCAACGTGTCACGTACAGTTACTTACAGAGACAGACCCATAGCTTTTCAGTTTGTCAGCAATATCAGAATCACAATTCTCAACTGTCCTCAAGAGCAAAAGCAACGTCACACGTCACACGTACAGTTACTTACAGAGACAGACCCATAGCTTTTCAGTTTGTCAGCAATATCAGAATCACAATTCTCAACTGTCCTCAAGAGCAAAAGCAACGTCACACGTCACACGTACAGTTACTTACAGAGACAGACCCATAGCTTTTCAGTTTGTCAGCAATATCAGAATCACAATTCTCAACTGTCCTCAAGAGCAAAAGCAACGTCACACGTCACACGTACAGTTACTTACAGAGACAGACCCATAGCTTTTCAGTTTGTCAGCAATATCAGAATCACAATTCTCAACTGTCCTCAAGAGCAAAAGCAACGTCACACGTCACACTTACAGTTACTTACAGAGACAGACCCATAGCTTTTCAGTTTGTCAGCAATATCAGAATCACAATTCTCCACTGTCCTCAAGAGCAAAAGCAACATCACACGTCACACGTACAGTTACTTACAGAGACAGACCCATAGCTTTTCAGTTTGTCAGCAATATCAGAATCACAATTCTCCACTGCAGGTGATGATTCTAGAGCTGATCAGGGAACATTACATGAACAACAGATGACACTTTGTGTGGACAACCTTCCATGCATGTAGCATCATGTGTCAACGAAACATGGAAGAGCTCACTAAGATGTCTTTTGGCAAGAAGGGCGGCAATCTGGTAGAGTTTTGAAATTGTAAACTTACATCCCAACACATCAGTAAGAACACCCTTCCTGGCAATTTCACATATCACGTGTTTAACTGCAGCATGTAGTTTCTCTAGATGAGTCAATACTGACAGCCATGGTAATTCATCTGATGTCACACCCATGCAGTTGTCCAGAAACACAAGTTGTAAATATTACAGTGGTTGAAGGAAGGCTAATTTGCTGATGCCACATCTATTAATGCCCATCCAAATGTGATGTGCAGCTTTTATCAGACATGATTTGAACAGAACAGAACAGTTGCATCAGTTGTATCTCTGAGCACCTCCACGGAACATGCAACTGAGTGGCTCGAAATTCATTGAAGTGACGCTGCATCTTGGAGCAATTTTCTCAGCATCAGGATTACTGACGTTGTCCATTTAAAAGGAACAGGCTACACATATCAACTTGTGTTGATAACTGTTGTTATATTTCATATCAAATGACACAGATGAAATATTCTATTTAAAACCCAATAATATTCTTCAAACTTTTTCAGTTTGTGTCTGCAAACAGTAATCTTAAATGAAACAAGTGCAACTAACCAATATATCAAATGGAGTATTCCAAAATGAAATAATTTATTAAAAAATCTAAGTCAATTTATGAGTAAAACCAACAAATAAATGTATCCAGGCTTAACTTACATTTAAGTAGAACGTTCAGGCCTGAATTACAGGTTCAACATTGAAGTGACTATAGAAGCATAAAATTGGTCTTGCAAAAACTGTTTCAGACACTACAAAACTTTTTGCTCGTACAAATAACATTGACATTCCATGAGCATATAAAATATTACCTTCTGACTAAAGAGAAAAAAACAACAACTTTCATTCTGAAGAGAATCCTGTTTCCATAAAATACCATTAAGATTTTGTCTTCCATCTATTTGTTAGCCTGATAAAAAAAATAAATGCCTTGTGCAAGTGAGGTGGTTGATATATTCATTGAGTTGATACTGAAATCTCATAGCATGCATGTTGTATATGACCATTACACCATAAGACATTGGCGCTGGTAACTGCCATGGAGGATGAAACTTTCTGCACAGCCGGTGATTTCCTCACATGAAGATTGATGGGACCATTAGTATGGTTTGCTGAAACACTGACTTAGAAGTTTTTGATAATGTAAAGAACCTCAGACAAGCAAATGTACCAACAAAGTAGATAACTCAAGAAGCTTCCAATGACTTCAGACTTGCTACAGCTATATGGGCTAGCTACTCAGTCTCCATGTTGTCTGGTTGATGTGGTTGTTTCAACAGTAACATTATTGATGATGCTTGTGACACATATTGGTTCAGTTTATCAATCGAGAAGAAACAACTACTAACTGTAACCCCATTCATCACAGGACACCTGACTGACAGAGTGCAACACATCACAGGACACCTGACTAACACAGCATGACACATTCATCACAGGACACCTGACTAACAGAATACAACATATCACAGGACACCTGACTGACAGAGTACAACACATCACAGGACACCTGACTGACATGGTATGACACATTCATCACAGGACACCTGACTAACTAAATGGGTTGGTTGTTGAGAAAGAAAATCTCAACCATATGACATTCCTACAACTTAAAAGGAAGCAATTCATGAAGAAATAGTCAAAATCAATTTGAAGCAGGTGAGGCTTGCACTTTTTAGGACTCCAGTGTTTCTGAGCATTGAAGAAACTTACAAATTCTTAACCAGGATCAATCCAGAAATTAATTACCCTGACAACAAATCAATAGGTGCATTTCTGTAAGAGTAGGCATATAGTGGCTACTTCCCCACCCTCAGTATGGCTTGACTCCATCCCATCAGGCCTCCTCTCAGCTCTAGATGTCATCCCAGATAAACCAGTCACAGATAAACTCCATCTTCAAACACCCCAGCACTCAGTTCCACAGATTTTTTATCTTTCAGGAAACTGGTCTTTTTCTCCAAACTCTTTGAATCTGACTTCTTAACAGCTAGTTGAATTTCCTTTATAGTAATCAGTTCAAATTCAAAATCCCTATTCTAAATCTTCATCCAAAAGTCTCTAATTAAGTAAACTTACTCAAGTTATCAAACTTACACCAGACAGTCAAGAGATGCATAAGTAAAAGAAGTAGAATAGTATCGAAAATCACTAGAAATGAATACTCATGAAGTCTAAAGTGCTGAAGCTTTGTATACATCTTCAGGAGACAGCATCTCTCAATAATTGACATTATCATAAGCAAACTGAGATTATACTTCAGTACGCCAAGTATTCCACTCAGCAACAGGTACTGCCAGTGTTAACTGTAATTGTAGCATCCTGTAACAAGCCAGGATGCAGGAGGCAGAAACAGTGAGTGAGTGAGTTTAGTTTTATGCCACTTTTAGCAATATTCCAGCAATATCACGTCGAGACCCACCAGAAATGGCAGAAAGAAAGACAAACAGCAAATGGATCCAATGTCAAACAAGCCACTTCACCTCTCCTCACCTCACTGCACCTCACCTCGACTTAATGAAACAGACTAATCTTGATTGCCCGTAGTTAAATACAAAACAGCCGAGAAAATTCTATCTTTGAAAATCAGTGTTGACACCTGATATTTATGAAAATAAAAACTTCGGGGGATGTCCACTTACATGTCCATCTATCTACAAGTCCACCCACCAGCAAGTCCACCCACCTACAAGTCCACCCACTAGACGTCCACCCACCAGCAAGTCCATTCACTTACACGTCCACCCACCTACAAATCCACCCACCAGCAAGTCCATCCACCTACAAGTCCACCCACCAGCAAGTCCACCCACCTACAAGGCCACCCACCTACAAGTCCACCCACCTACACGTCCACCCATCTACGAGTCCACCCACCTACGAGTCCACCCACCAGCAAGCCCATCCACCTACAAGTCCACCCACCAGCAAGTCCATCCACCTACAAGGCCACCCACCAGCAAGTCCATCCCACCTACAAGTGCATCAACCTACAAGTCCATCCACCAGCAAGTCCACCCACCTACAAGTCCACCGACCTACAAGTCCATCCACCTACAAGTCCACCCACCTCCGAGTCCACCCACCAGCAAGTCCACCTACCAGCAAGTCCATCCACCTACACGTCCACCCACCTACAAGTCCACCCACCTACATGTCCATCCAACTACAAGTCCACCCACCTACAAGTCCATCCACCTACACGTCCACCCACCTACAAGTCCATTCACCTACAAGTCCAACCACCAGCAAGTCCACCCACCAGCAAGCCCATCCACCTACACGTCCACCCACCTACAAGTTCACCCACCAGCAAGTCCACCCACCAGCAAGTCCTACACGTCCACCCTCCTACGAGCCCTCCCACCTACATGTCTGAGATGTTTGACAAGCACCTGCAGCTAAGGGGTTGTTCCACAGTCTCTCTTCAAAGCCCTGGAGCACATTGTCCTATAAAAAATACTGCCCCAGTCTTTACTCAAACCCTCAACAGAAACAATGGTTCCTTTATAGTCAAGGGTACGTTCATAGAATTATTCTTATTACACTTATATATAATCATATTTTGGTCACAAAACTTTAATCCACACAACAATCCTAGTTTTGCAACCATGTCTCATATCACAGTTGAAGGTCTGCACTACCATATACCCACAGGACAACAGCATGGAAGGTGGTTGGAGCCAACCAGTTTTCAAGAATATATTTCCATCATAACCATGTCAGCTTTGTCCGCTGAGATCAGTTGAACAAATGCAACAGGTTTTGCATATCCCACATGCATGGAAGTCAGCAGAACTTGTAGACCAGTAGAAGTTATTCATCCGTCTGCAAATTCACACAAAGCAATCATGATTCAAAACTTCTTTCACAAAACTTAAAAACTCACATTTTCAGATAAACACGCTCTTTCAATGCAAGGAAAATATTTAGCAGTGATGGATTCAGCAAACCTCTCTTGTGAAAGAACTCCAGGTTTGGAACACAGATAGCCATTCTCATTATTCTCCAAGCATACATTGATTTCTGTATTTAAAATATACATCCCAAGAGCATCCCAGCAACCTGAGCTTAAATACCAATGATATTCTGAAAGTTGATCCATGTTGCAAGTGATGAATATTCAGCCTGGTGCCGTAGTCCCACCAGAATCAATACATGGGAGAAAGGTCTGACAGTAAACCAATGCTTCTCATTTAGACTTCTATTTATTTAAGTTCTAAGTTCAGTTTATCTCTCTTACCTATGATCCTTCAGAAACAACTGAATGAGTTATAACTTCAATCAAATTAACTGTCCAGTCTAAATTCTCCCTCAAACACAAAACAACCCATGAGACATAAAACAATAACATAATGTAACAGGAACTTTGTTTCTGTGCTGGAATGTGCTGGGCTGGAGATGGACACCGTGCTGGGGACCAAAACCTTTATTTATAGACATGTTCGTTGTTGTTGTTGTGTTATATGTTGTTATCACAGCTAACTTCCTGTACATGATCTGAGCAGACCAGTGACAACGCACCATCAAGCCACTCACTCACTCACACACCTGTTCTACCCCACTAAGTCAACTGCACACTACGGATATTTTTCAGGCTGATTTACAACTAAAAGTTGTGTAAACACAAAACTTTCCGTCCATGTCAGTATCTGTTTCGCATCAGGTAGGGAATACACCATGGGCTTATCTCAGCTATAAAATACTGAAACATGGGTAATATCTCAAGCAAGTCATAGCAATACAATAAACACTGTCTGTTTTATTACAGAACATATATGCACATACAATGTTTTTCTCCTCAATGGACCCAACTGTACTGCTGCTTTCTATATTTAGCCAACAAACACATTGGTAGCACCGGTTCCATGTAAGCAGCAGAGATGCTGACAGTCCAGGTAATCCCATGTTTCGTATACCCCAAGGAGGTGTGGGATACGTGTGGAACTACATCATGTGTTACGGTTGTAGATAACCCTATCTGGACGACTTGACCAGGTAAGTCCTGAAGTTACATCCACAGAGGGATAGTTCCAGCTGTCTTGGCTGATGGGTTGTCCAAACCAGTTAACCATGACACATAGTTTAACCAGAATATCACCCCATGCTTAGATTTTCTCACTTCAGATACAGGACATTATCTAACATTTGTCACAAAGTGAATAATGACAATTTGATATTATTTGTTCCAGTTTTTATAAACTCACCAATTGGAGATTTCATAGCAAAACATGTTTCCTGATGTGCTTCAAGGTGCAAGATCAGATTTCATCTCTTTCTGCTGCCTGTTTTGTTATATTCAAAGGAGACATTTATCTTCATTCATAAGGCCAGACCAATTTTATTTCTTGTTTACGGATCCGCCTGTCGTATATTTTCAAGAATAAGAAAAAAAAAAGAAGTTAATTTTCCCTGCTCTAAAAGTAAAATCCTAATGTTTGGGGGTATTTATTGGTCAAAATGTAAATTGACAAGAAAAGTTTTTGTTTAGATTGTGATTGCCCCATATACACTTTATAAATTGCCAAAAAGTAAATACTTTTAGCATTTTTAAAATATTTTTTTTTATAGTTTTTTCCCTCTTGCCTTTAGTTATTTTGAGTACAAAAAACTGTAAAACCAGAAATAAAATTGGTCTGGCCTAATGATTGTAACTATTGTTTCACACTCTGTAGTATGTTTTATCAAGCTACACTACTACCCCTGCCTCACTCACTGACGCCCTGCCTGCCACATGTTTGGGATTACGCTTTCTCAGTAAAGTCCCAACTGGCATTCAAACTCTCAGATAAGTGAGCAATCTAACCCTTCCAGCAATAAAAAAACAGGTCACAAGTTATTGTATCTTCATGATCTTGTACACTGATTAAATATAACCCTTGATGTCATATCAGTCCAAGTGCAACGCTTGATGTTTATAACCATTGCTTTTGACTTGAGAAAGACATTCAGCAGAATATCTGTTTTAAAATATTTCGCATTTTGCAAGTTCTCTGACGTCGCTTTGTCACTAGAACTCAACTTGGCGTTGTGGAGAGCCCCAGTCCATTGGTAGATGATTATCCAGCACAATAGTGTAGGGGGAACTCCCTGTGACCATAAACACCTTCTGACATGTTTTAGCACACTGTTGGAATTATAAACACACACAAAACCTCTCAAGGATGACAGAAAAGGGAATGAGCATTGTTGCAGACACAAAAGTTTCTCGCTATTCATGTTGAAAGGTATTTATTGATTATCCCAACCACAATACACAAAACTTATCCCTCCTAACCCTCATGTTTTCCTTTCAACATGCTCACAATCATCAAGGCCTTGTATCCTGCAGTCAGATATTGTCTGACCAACAAGCACAAGGTCTCGTGTTCCTGAAGACAGTGAAATATTGGCTGGGGAACGAGCACAAGGTCTCGTATCCTGAAGACAGTCAGATCTTGATCCTGAAGACAGTCAGATTTTGGCTGGGGAACGAGCGCAAGGTCTCGTATTCCTGAAGACAACAAATATTGCCTGACCAACAAGCACATAGTCTCATATTCCTGAAGACAGTCAAATATTAGCTGACCAACAAGCACAAGGTCTTGTATCCTGAAGATAGTCAGATTTAGCCTTACAAATGACCACAAAGCTTTGTGCCCACAGTGATCTTCAAGGTGTGTTCTGGACATCCCCGTCAAAGACCAGCTTCCATGTAGCACCACTGACCCCAGCACTGTTCCACCCTCCAGATTGCTGTATCTGTCTGACAATAGACATGTCCGCCACTGCAGCAAGTGCATCTGTCCAGGCACAGATGGTGATTGGTAATGGTCCAGTCCTGTCTCCCAACATTATCTATATTTACCATACAATCAGATTTAGATAATCCAACAGGTGACTGCCATGGCTGTCCAGCTGTCTGTCCTGGTTATTCTGACCCCTGCAGCTGCTTCACAGTTCTGAAAGGTTCATGGAGAGTTAACACTAGACAAATACTTATATATATAATGTTGACAGAAACAAATATTTCCTTTTAAATGGAAAAGGAGCCCAGTGAGAAGGGAAGTTCAGAACCTGAGGAGATCAAGACTTGATATATTTATGGATTTAGCCTTGCAGAATGGACTAGGCAGAAGGGGAAATAATGCGGTTCTGTTGGAGAGACTATGTTAACACCATGGCCCTCCTCTATACTGCAGTGCACTTCATCAGTTGTGGCTGGAGAGTTCCAGGATGTTGTGCACTGGCGGGTTCCAGCCTGTCATCTACAAAGTCACACTTTATATGTTGAGTGTATGAAATGAAAATTTTCTATATTGAACAAATATAAAAAATGCATGGAAACTACACAAACACTAACTAGTGGAGGTTGACAGTGTTGAGACTTTACAAACCAAAGATAACACAGATCTGTGACTTTAGCTTTGGATACTTGTAGGGCTACGCAATAATAACCGGTTTACGGTATTTACCCGGTTTTAACATGAAGTCGATACGTATTGCGATACGCTGATCGAAAACCGGTATTTAGACATGCATTCGGAAACTTCGTAACACTTTCGGAAGTCTTGGATATTTCCGTTTTTCACACGGAAGCCAAGTTACAGTTCGGTTTGAAGTTGTGTTCTTAAGTTTTGTTCCCAATGTTCTGGATCTGAATGTTTTAAATATTTACTCATTAATGACCTGTGATCTCTGATATGTCCTGACCAGGTCATGTTGCTGTCTAAAATCTCAGGGCTTTTTTGGAGAGTGGAAAAACTAGTTCAAACTAGTAACCACTGTGTTGATTGTTCTTTTCCTTGTTTCATTTTTTGCCAAATATTATTTATTTTGTCATGATTAAAAGTTTTTATTCAAGCTTAATCAAGCATAGTGATTTGTTGTGTTTTTGCTATATAAATCAAGCATTAACTCGATTATAAGTAGTTTTTTTGTCAAAAATAATACATATCGCAATATATGCTTTCGCATCGCAATATATCGCAATATGAAAATTCTCTGCAATACCCACCCCTAGATACTTGAGCATAAACACCCACCAGGGTCATAAAGGAAAGTCATCAACTTAAACATACACAGCATTACAGAAATACAATGTATCATCCCAAACTGTGTTCCACAGGAGATACTGCTTGTGTGAGATCAACCAATATCTACTGGGAGATATCGTTTTGACAGTAGATTTTGTACAATGCCCTGACAATGCCATGATGTCATGAACTTTATGACGTCACACTGCTATGACATCGCTGCACTGTAAGTCTAATGGCAGTACTATGTTCAGAGATGTTTTTCATTAAAAACTAATGAAGAGTGTTTTTTGGATGATAAATAGAATCTCACCCGAGTGTCTTCAGATATCAAATATATCAACACTCGTTAATAAAAGTAAAAAGTTGTAACTTTATCAACTCGTGTTGATATAATTGATATCAGAAGACACTCGGGTGAGATTCTCTATGTATTGCTATTTTGAGTTCTAGAGAGATGTACATTTCCTTTGCATGAACAGTTTGTAAATGATGTCTGTACTTAGCAATCAACTTTGACAAGTTGCTGCAATGACCTTGAAGAGAATTTCACCTTGATCACAATTACAAATACCACAAGCAGATTCATGTTAACTCAATACCATATTTGTTAGAAAAGATTTCAAAATTACTAAGCACACAGCACAATTTCCAATTTAGCAGTCTGCAACTTAGCAACATTGTATAGATTCCCACTGATTCTCAAACTTCTCAAGCATGCAACACAAGTTATAATGTAAATTTAACGGACACGGTTACAATAAAATGTCAAATAAATAACTGAAATAACATACATGATTTGTTAATTGTTATTAAATTTCCAGATGAAAGCTAATGTCAGGGAACACAAAGTGCTATGATTTTGACAGTGTTCAGAAGATCAGTGTGCAGTATCAATGTTGGATAATATTTGTTATGACACACTGAGTCTGAATATTTCTCATCTGAGGAAGTATACTGACACATTACATTCCTTGAGTTACTGATGGCGAGACTGTGTCACAGCATTGTAGTTCACCCATAGTCACAAGTGTAATATGTCGACAGTACCCTGCAGCTCACCTGACCAGGACCCCAATACATTGGTCTTTCTTAAAATACCTATTTTACTAGTAATGTATACTTAATGCCATTTAGAAAGTGGTCAAATGTTACCCATTTAACAAATGTAACATATGCTACATTTGGAATTGCATTTTCTTAGTAAAGTACAGATTCTAGTACACTGTACTTTTGTTGGGTTGAGTCCCATCCAAGACTGTAATCCACCCTCGAAGAGTCAGTCACCCAAGCACCAGCACACAAAGTCAGCAATCCAACCCACTCAGCCACCACAAAAATGGAACATGTCCCCTCTGACAAGTATAAACTGTCACGGCTCCCACGCCTGAAAACTATGAATAAACAAGGACATTTAGAAAGTGGTCAAATGTAACATATAATGGTATTTGGGATTACACTTGGGTTGAGTCACAGCTTGTGCGGGTTTGAATCCAAGATGGGCTCCACCCTCAAAAAGGTTCTAGAATCTGTACTTAACTGAAAAGTGTAACCCCAAATATAACATACATTAACTAGCAATGTTGTTATCAAATACTGTTCTATAACCGACCTAAGCATGCTACCCAGTGAAGCAGGAAATGGTTGTTCCTTACAGAAATGAATCCCATTCAACATGTTCCACCAGCTCTGTGGAAGATCAACGAGACGGAACATCATGACTGCCAATTTATCCCAGATTAACCAACCAAAACACTTAATGCCAAGTACTCAAGGAGAGTATACTATTTATCATGCTCCCTGACACCTCCGACACCCTGAACCATGTACAGCGTCCATACATCACCTCATCACATCAATGGCCATCGGAGGATGAGCAACAGAAAGTGACAGAGGCATAATGACAAGTAGGTGTGTGAGAAATACGCCAACAAACAGCCCTGCCACTTGATCTGATAGGGCAGGATGAACAACGAGAAGTTAACCGACTTAATCTATTACACTGGATGTCTACAAACGGCAATATTGTGACAAATGTTAGCAAGATGTCTTGTCATTCACAAGTGGCATGTTATGTGAGGAGAGGGAGGGGGAATGTTATCAGGGATGCCTGCCATAGGTCAGGTGTTTTTATTGGATAACATATGGTTATGAGCCTCAGTGTCATGGCGTAGTACCACGGCTATATCCTGCACAATCCTGCCAGACGTAGTGAAGGGCAAGTCAGGTACTTCCCTATGGTGAAACAGTGTTACTGATGCATCTTTCTTGGTGTGGAACCGAGACTCTCAGACACACAGGAACTCCAGATGAGGACTGAAACTCCTGGCTGTTAGACATGACCAGAGACCATATACCGATATATGGTCTGCGACACGACTAACTGCACTCGGTGGTCAGTCTCGCTGTCCTGGTTGACTGTATGTCATCCTACTTCACCGGTTGGGACTGCTGCTCATGATGTCAGTCACTTGATTATCTGGTCCAGATCTGACTGTCTATACCGACTGCCATCAGACAGCTTTAATATTGGTGACTTGGTGTAAACAAACAAACAAGTTAAATACTCGGCATCTAAACCTAATTATTTTTTAACAAGGGGTCCTCAACTGGCTGACATATTGTCACAATTTGAGAAATCGGTACAAACCCCTGCCTGTACTAGTTAGAGAAACCAGTACTAACCCCTGCCTGTACTAGTTAGAGAAATCAGTACTAACTCCTGCCTGTACTAGTTAGAGAAATCAGTACAAACCCCTGCCTGTACTAGTTAGAGAAATTGGTACAAGCCCCTGCCTGTACTAGTTAGAGAAATCGGTACAAACCCCTGCCTGTGCTAGTTAGAGAAATCGGTACAAACCCCTGCCTGTGCTAGTTAGAGAAACACTGTACAGAAAGAATCTACTTTGGATGAAAATGGATAAAAAAATACCACAAGTCAAAAGGTGTCACATCAAATAAAGCTCACAGACTTCTTCGAGTTTAAAGCAGCACCCAACTATATGACAACAGTTTCTTGCCACCAATATATTTCAAGTGCAGAGAACTGGTTTTCAACTTAACAAACCAGATTACTGGGGAAGAAATCCCAAACAGTCCTGGTCAAAGATGCTTCCAGCTGTCAGGGCATTTCAGTAAAGTGACCTTGACCTGGCAGGTAAAAAAATCCCATTCAATTTTCCAAGATTTCTCTGGACTGAGTGTCAGGTTATCGTAGAATTATCGGCTCACCATGAACGTGACATGCAGCACGCTGATGGCTGTTGCCATCTCACAAACCTCCATTAAATCTCATACCCAGCCACAGACAAACAATGTGCCCCCTGTCCCACCACAGGAGCTGATCATCTCAGCACCGAACCTTTCAATCTGTGTGTAATATTTAACGTTATGTTTTTCACCAATTTATATTTACGTGTTGAGGGAGTTGGTTTTCTTCTTCCTTATCACTCATGAATTTAATGTTGGCCAATGTTAATATTCTGGATTAAAGTTTATACCATTTAGAGAGTTTGCTACAATAAATCATGATAAGATGTAAAGTGTATTCTATGCAAAGTCTATTCCCTTGTTTACGGAAAGAAAGATATCTCCTAGTATCCTGGAACACTTGAAACACGTAACATGTATAATTACCCAGGAACAGACTTGATGCAACTTCCTGATTGGAAGATAATAATGTCAGCTTCAGAATGGCGCCACTCTAATGATGGCCATAATCTTTCACCGTCCTAAAAACATAAGAAAATATTTATGATCAGTTTTGTTACAAACCACCCACCTGATGATTACAGTTGTAAAATATTGATTACCTTGGTTTCCTCTCCTGCCAACCAGTTGTCTGGGTTAGGAAGAGTGTACTTAGGCAAGATATATAAAAATGAGGTAATAACTTCCTCTTCCTTCCCAAAATCAACCAAATCCCCCCAAATTGACACATATCATGCATTCATATAATCCTTCATCACCTCATAAGTCCCATAACACTTGATATTCCACACGCACTCTATCTGATGGGGTTGCCTGCGTGAATACCAAGATAACCAGCTTTGAATTCAACTTTGGCCAGGAGGTCCTTTCCATTCAGGATCCAGTGTGTGTAAACAAACATAGAACTCGTTCATATGTTAAACATATCGACTGATTACAGTATAACAGAAACATGCAAACTGTTTATTGAACAATGTTGCCATTTGGTTTCATTCTCACCCTACACCCTTTTCTGCCTGAATCCCAACTCCATGTTTCACTTCCTCCCAAGAAGTTGCACCCACCCCTTTCTGTCTGAATCCCAACTCCATGCTTCACTTCCTCCCAAGAAGTTGCACACACCCCTTTCTGTCTGAATCCCAACTCCATGCTTCACTTCTTCCCAAGAAGTTGCACCCACCCCTACACCCCTTTCTGCCTGAATCCCAACTCCATGCTTCACTTCTTCCCAAGAAGTTGCACCCACCCCTACACCCCTTTCTGCCTGAATCCCAACTCCATGCTTCACTTCCTCCCAAGAAGTTGCACCAACCCCTACACCCCTTCCTGCCTGAATCCCAACTCCATGCTTCACTTCTTCCCAAGAAGTTGCACCCACCCCTACACCCCTTTCTGCCTGAATCCCAACTCCATGCTTCACTTCTTCCCAAGAAGTTGCACCCACCCGTACACCTCTTCCTGCCTGAATCCTGACTCCATGTTTCACGAGAGTGGCAAGACAAACGTCAAGGGGGACTTGTCTAAGTGCATCACTAAACCTGTACAAGACACCTTACCAGACTGTCTCCAATACTGCAGTACACAGTCAGACCCTTCATCAGCTGGTGAAAGGTTAGACATCGATTATCTACAACTTGATATCTCTGTCCCTGCTAGAGATAGTCAACTGTCAACATATTCACATTCACCGTATCTGTGGAGCATCTTTTCCCATCATCATGTTTCAACATAAGTCCACTTCTACATCCATGCTGCTCTGCAGTTCAAATCGTTTCAGAACATCAACACTAAATATCTCTCATGGTTGTTTGAATAAATAAACATGAAAATTATCTTTTGACTTCCCTTCTCAAATGACTTCCAAGAATAGTTCTTGTTCAAGCTTTAACAGTGAACGTGTGAGTTGGGTTCTTACACTTCTGTTAGCAATATTCCAGCAATACCATAAAGGAGGACACATTGTACCCATGTGGGGAATCAAACCCAAGGCTGAGACATGACAAGCAAATGCTTGAACCACTAGGCTACTCCACTGCCCGTAGCACCTGAGACATGACAAGCAAATGCTTGAACCACTAGGCTACTCCACTGCCCGTAGCACCTGAGACATGACAAGCAAATGCTTGAACCACAGGCTACTCCACTGCCCGTAGCACCTGAGAAGCCTCCAATCCTAGATGACAGCCCTTCCAATCATTATTGCATGGCTGCGGACCGTGTTCATTTGTGGATTGTGACTTATGCTATAATGTAAATTAACACCAATACCCAAGTGCCATCTCATCACTGTTAATCATTAAACAAATGAATTTATAAGAACTGTAAACGTGGAATCATTAAATTTGCCATGCATCACTTACAATATAAGATTTTACGGAGACTGTCAATAACAATTTCCTTGGGACATACAGTAATATTGTAAAGCTACTTGTGTTCCTGCTGTCTTCTGATTGGCTGAAAATGTTTCTCAATGTGATTTGAGTAGGAGCATGATGAATATTTTAATTATACCCTGAGTAAAACCCACAATCCTGAGTATGGTGCAAATAAACCATGGATCATGAATAAACAGTGAAACTGGGATTTGAACCCACGGTCATGGGATTCGCGTAAGCAGTGACGCAACTGCACACTTCTTAGTACCCTAGCTAACAAGGCACAAATATTTTCTTTTACAATGTCGCAGTGTAAGATGCTACGCATGAAACCAGAGACCATATAATCTATTATATGGTCTCTGATGAAACATATACAACATATGATATTGAGATTCCTAGTAACCAAATGGGGCATAACTCTGACTAGATGTGTGCAGATGTTAGCCAGGTCAATCCAAATCAGATCCTAATGGTTCGCCATCATCTCCAAACACATGTCAGATATATACCTCATCTGGACACTCGGAAATATACCTATCAAATGATGAGTGGTACATCTGTTTGAAGTTAGCAGTCAGCGGGGGACACCATACATGATGTATGTCTGTTTTAAATGAGTGCGCAGCATGGCTACCTTCAACATAAACCCCCCAACCCCCATCCTGCGTCAAAGGCTGCTGTACCTGATTCATTATTGATGACTGATGTAAAACAAGGAATTACTTCAACTTAGCTCACCCATCCAGATGATAGTATTACCAAAGTTTTCTGCTTGTTTTATTTTGGGTCTTGTTGTTGCCTCTTTGATAGTAAGGTGGTTGGCAGGGATCCCACGCAAGAGGGTGTTTACGTGTAGAGGGCGCCTCTCTATCTATTCAGGCGTTGTTGGAAATAGAAAGGTCAGCTAACGCAGATGTTGAGTCGTCTTCAGATCTGAAACAACATTGGTAAACCATGTTGTCAAGAACTAGTGTACAAACTGAAGTTCTGAAAAAAACATTTAAACTTTTCATGAAATAATTATGGATTCAAATGCACAAAATTGGACTTGATGGTAAAAAATATACTACCGTATGTCAATATGTATTAATGTTCTGTAGAACTACCACCAGTTCTGTAAAATATATAATATTATAAAATATATAATAAGGTGTATTTTGCTGAAAATATATTGGGTTATTAACCTTCTTTGAAACACAATGAATCAGAATGTCCACCCTTTGTAGTACTGCTATTCATAGAGTGAAGCCTAATACTTCATTGTGTGGTAGATGACTTGTAAGTATAAATATACATAACCATAATGTCCAGTCTTCTTTACCTGCAAAAACAGATCACACTGGGTGTAAAAGTCAAAATATTGTTAAAATTATATGATGAGATCATCCTGGTTGCACAGCCGGTAAAATTCATAATATGATAAAGCAACAGTCCAGCATCCTTTCCCCAAATAGTGAATGTACCCCAATGATACCTGGAAGACAGAATGTTACATAGGATACCATATATGGTGTAATAGACACACCTGGTCATCAGAATTTGACAAAGAGTTGTGCTCATTAACTCATTAAGGCCGAGAGCCGCATATATGGGGCAACTTAATCAGCTCCTCACAGCGAGAGACGTGTTTATGGGGCAGGTAATTGGCAGTTTCTCACAGCGAGAGCCACATATATTCGTTACCAGAAAGCACCTCTTTATTCAGAGAGAGACGCACATGTGTGTCATACTTTTAAAAATCGCACTGTACCTATTATTTCAACCAATTTAGTAGTACTGAGCAAATATTAGCCTTTCTTACGAGAGATGCTACCTTTAGTGTCAATCAGAAGAAGTATTTAAATTGTTTTGAAAGCAATTGCTAATCATTATCATAGGCTTATACAGTGTTTGGCAAATGAACACATGTCGGCGAGAAAGGGGATTATGATGTTTTTACAGAGGTAAATGTCTGGTACTCTTCATTGGGAATGGATACTAAAAAACTTCTTTTGCACATTGATTGAATTAGATGTAATGGTTTAGAGGTTACTGAAGATTATATTTTCTTCAACTTCCTAATAAATAGGTAACAATATCCGAAATTTCAAGGACATACAAAGAATTCAAACACAATAGAATAGTTTGAATTTACTTTTCAGGTATTATTACGTTGTCATGTTTCATATAATGAAACATAATGTATAAACACAAATAATTATACATCCAAGCTCGAATAGATTAGACATAATTTAACTTACTAATTTAAAGCTTACTGAATTGTAACTAGTTATTTTCCATAATCTAAAGTTAATAATTTAACCTAATCGAATATAAAGTGATAAGTCGCGCCTTTGTATCGAATATGTATACATGTCAGTGTTATTACAACAATGAAATCTTTTACTACGTTTGTTACAAAACACAGTAAGTTGGTAATTCAAAAGATTCTTAGACATAGCCAGATGTGAGTGAGCGAGTTATTACATGTAAACCATACAAAGGTATTTCAAACATTTATGTTCAAGCTGTTGAAAGTTTCATGTTGATTTGAATTGTCAGTTTTCTATGCAATTTACATGAGCATTGTAGTGCAGGGTCTTATGTTGCAAAAATCCTTTCCGTGGGAAGTGCATATTAATTTTTTGGAACCACTGATAATTGTAATCAGTATTGCATATGGATACAGAAAAAACATGGTTCCATTTTTTCTGATGATTATAAGTGTCATTCTGGGGTAACTGAACATCGGTACCCATAATCGAGCAGCAACACCAATGTGAGAAAAACATATTTTTATAAACCTTATTACAACATAGGCAAGTAGTATGTCAAAATGTACCTTGTGATGTGTGTTTTACAACTACCTTTTCAATTATGAATCTCAATAATATATGTATGCATAATAATCACTATGATCATAAGTGCTTCTGCCCAAACCGAAGGTTTGTTGCAGAGAGTATGCATTCAACCCTGTTTGTGTGTGTATTTATTTGTTAGCATCTTACTCAAAACCTACTTGATGGATTTCATTTAAACTTACTGGATCTCTTGGGTATGTCCCCAGGACAAATCAATTAGATGTTGAAGAAAGTACACTCTTCAAAATAAGAAACGCAAAATCAAAATATCATTGAAAAACTTGGTCTTATTCAATTATGTAACTCAACGAAAATAATGGTACAGCATTGAAATTATGTAGAGCAATACATTGGTATCTCGTGCACATTTCACAAGGATGACAGTCATCATAGTCATTACTGCTGTCCACGAGGTGACGTTGACGTTACTACCTTGTATGACCACCTCTTACTGCTAGAACTGCACGACACCTCGCTGACACAGATTGAATCAGATGTTGGATGTTTCCTTGTGCAATCTTTCTCCATTCCTCCTGCAGCATGTTGAACAACAGTTACTGTTAAAGTCTCAATGGCTTAATCACGTACACATTAATGACGTACACATTTATCTATCTGATCCCACAGGTAATCAATTGGTTTCAGATCCGGGGATCTGGAGGGCCAGGGGAGGGCATTGATGTTGTTATTGTCCAGGTAGTCCACTGTAGCACATGCTGTGTGAGGTCTGGCGTTGTCCTGTTGGTACAGCGCCCTTTGGAGGTCGACAAGGCGATGCACGTGGGGGCAGAGAATCTGGTCGATATATCGAGCAGCCGAAAGATTGCCTTGGACGAGCACCAATTCCGATCTGCAGGTGTATGAGATGGCTCCCCTCATCATCACACCATCTCCACCAAATCTGTCCACTTGCTGGATGCAGATGGATGCAAAACGTTCAGTGCGTGGCCTGTAGACACATTGTCTTCTGTCACGTCGCTTTAGGGGATACCGCGATTCATCACTGAACCATATGTGCCTCCAGCTTCCAAGGTTCCATGGCTGCTCCGCATTACACCACCTGACTCGCGGACGTTGATGTCAGTGAGTGAGTGACTTAAGATTTAAAGTCATATCGGCAATATTTCAGCCATTTCGTGACGTGATCATGTCGGAGAGGGGGCAATTTTTGGACGTCTGGCACGCATACCTACCTCTCGGAGACGGTTCCTGATTGTCTGGTCGGACATTCTCTGGGCTCAAAAACGTTCTTGTGCTGTGTCCCGGGCAGAACGATGGCAGTCACGTAGGTGGGTTACCCGGATTTAGCGATCTTGGGCTGGTGTGGTGACTCACGGTCTTCCTGGTCTTGGATAGTCATTTGTCAAAATGGAATGCACAAAACGATCCCACAAACGAGTTATTGTGCTGGGATGAATGCTGAAGGTCCTCGCCACGACACTTTTGGATTCGCCAGCTTGTAATCGTCCAATGGCAATATTTCAGTGGGCACCGTTGAGGCGTCCCAATTTTCTCATCCAGTATTGAATTTGCGAGATGCATTTGGGTCTTTTATAGCAGAGGTTGTACTCATGCTTTGCATGCTTTTGGTTGTGTTCCATAACAGTCAGCTCGTCATGACAATCATGATCGATAAAACCATTCAAAATCGTATATGGTTGTTCTTCTTAACCATACTAACTACAAAATTCAACCCTCAAAACATGCTTAATTTGACATATGCATACAAACTTTCGATCATTAGTTTCAAATGTTATTTTTTTGAAGAGTGTATGTTAAAGCACATATGTACACAGAGGCACTTTGAAAATAATCTCAATGTTGAATAAATGGAGAATATGAATAATATTTCAAAAGGTTATGGATGGATTTGAATCAATCTTGGTGGTTATGTTAGGTATGACACAAGGGCTACCTGCGTACGGTTTGGTGAAAGTACACAGTAGTACTTTAAAACTGTAATAGTCAAAGGAGATTGCTGTGCACGGCGGAGGCATGTTCTCTAACGAGGGCCCTTCTAGTTTCCTTATTAAGAAAAAAATGCGTAGAATTCATGTTTGTCTTTGTATGACAAATAATGTCGAAGCTTGTATTTCAACAGCATATCTTGTTCTTGCAGGTTAATGATGGATTGATTGACTATGGAAGTTACTTAACAATGTGAAAGTTAAAATAAATATACTAGTGCACATTATATATTGCATACCCCACTTGTTATATGTAGTTATCTGTTCACTGTGATACAATTTGTCACTCCTGTATTAATACATTCGGTTTGTATTGACTGCAGATTTGGCTTTATGTCGTTTGTCATTTAATTACCCAGACACGAGTGTCAGTGTGTCAATTTTGACTGTACTGGTAGGCCTGATTTGACACTTGTGCACGGCTATATGATATTCACATTAACCTTACCTGGATACTATTATTACTACATAAGAGTGTCATGGTAGTATATTTTATGAAATAAGACAATACATTAATTGAATAAGTGGTTTCCATTAACATAGGCCAATACTAACAATGTTGGTGTCCGATGAAGGAAATACAATATTATTATATCATGCATCATAAGCTGCCTTGTGATATGCTACATCACTATGTTGTGATAGGTTTATGAACACATGTCTTTCTTGAAATGGTGTCGCAAGTAATTTTGGAAACTCATATTCAATCACCCCACAAGGACACTTATAGCAAACAGACCAAATGGAACCATGTTTTTCCTGAATCCATACACAATAGTGATTACAATTAGTATTGGTTCCAAAAATTAACATGTAATTCCCATGGAATTACACAAGCCCCTGCACTATTGTGTAAAAGATTTGTATTTGATCTCTGTAATTATCAAATCCAGTGTAATTATCACGTGTATCAATGAACACAGTCTCTATTGATCCATCATCAATAAAAGCTGGATAGTATATCAGTTACGGTATCTATATACATGCGTATATTCATTCAATCAGATCACAGTAATGAGATAATCGAACACCTCTTACGACCTTGAAATAACAGCCTCTGGTAGAATGCATGTGTAGTTACGCCCTTGTTGAAAGGTTTGTCCTGTGACAAGTGTAAAATAAACAGATGCGATGTTATATCATTGGACAATCTGCTTTATGGAGTCTCGCCCCTCTTTCTAATGTTTATGCATGCATGCACATCTGTAATCTTATGAACCTCGTTTACATTCAGTATAAATATAGGAAAAACCCATCTTCATAAATATTTGGGGGGATTAAACTGCAAGTTTATACAATAATTCAGTATCGTGTCACTTTTTGAATTCTATAATACGTGTACTTTAATTTGGAAATTCATTCGTATCAAGGTGAAGATTATATTTACATGTACAGCAAACCATTATGTTTTATGTACTAGTTATGTGCGTAAAATGTATATGAAAATAAATACTATCTCTACTCAATGGTTGGGTTTCAATCACTTTGTTTACTTATCGAAAACACTAAAATGTGTTTTCGATCTCTGAGATCTATCTACTCCTATTTGT